ACTCTTTCTGCTTACTTACATGATCTCAACACAGTCCTGGTAGGCCTTTTTGTTTAGACAAATCCAGTCTTTCCATCCTCAGTCTGTACATTTTCCCATTCACATTTGCTACCAGTGACTGGAACATTCTATCCACTTCTGTCCACTTCCACACACCTGAACTTAATTGCAGTAGACTTGTCAGGCCCCAATTATTACAACATAGCCTACCTTCTGTTATATGCATCTGTGAGCAAGTTGTACCTTGTTGTATTAGAGGACAATTCCGCTGAAATCAAAGGAACTGCATTTTTATACACAACAGCAGAATTTCCTCTGATAGTCCAATACACTAGCAATAGTGCTTATTATATCATCAGTATCTGTGGCAAACCTCTGGCTGTGACCCCAGGGTCCTGCACTTCTGGCGGATTTCCACGTAGCCCCTTACCCTTTACTAGAGGCAAGGGTCACAGCCTACTGAGCCATCCTCATCACAGGTTAGTTCACCATTTGGGGTGAAAACTCCTCCTTAGTCCTGGCAAGCTCTTAATTGGCTTGAAGTACCTGCTTGATGGTGCTGCACTGGGCTTGGCCCTGGTTATTCAGGGAAAAGGAAAATGTTTATTCAGAGCCTTGCATTAGAGTGTGGCAGCCAGCTCGTCTGGGTCCGTCACATATCGCACTACTTGAACACTAGCTTTCACACATAACTACTTCGATCCACTCATTTATCAGCCTGTCAGAACAGTATATAATTACATGTGAATATGTCCCATCCCAAACTACCTGACAATTTTAAAGTATCTAAATTGTCCAAATAAGATTCCTAGTGTGTGTGAACTTAACTAGTGGACATAGTTTCTTTCACCGTATCTACCAAACATTTAGGTAACTACATTCTTAATTGAAAAATCTCTCTATAAATAATGATTACAATGTAGTTGTTTGCTAAAATTAATTTTACCACATTCCAATCCCAAATTTTTCACAAATAACGAATGATATTTTTGAAAGGAAGAAACCCCTGTGCATTTCAACTATTTCTGAGAAAAAAGAGAAGGATGGACTTGGTTCCATATTGTGAGCAAGGATCACAAAATAAATATTTGATCTGTAAATAAAGTTTCAGTTACAGATAAATGGAAAATTTTAAAATAAGATAATTTTGTATACTTTTTTCCTCCAGAAATTGTGTAATTAACTCTCAGAGGATAAGAAGCATACTGAACATTTGTAAAGAGATATAATAATTACCAGGGCTCGCCAAACCGCGACGAGCCCCGCTCGCCAGCCGCACAGAGGCAGGGAACTTCTTCCAGAGGGGTACCCCATGCTTTTTGACCACAAGGGAGCTTGAAAAAAACCCTGTAATTTCTGATAGCTGGCCTCCCAGTCTTAGGGTACGTCTAGACTACATGCCTCTGTCGCCAGAGGCATGTAGATTAGGCTACCAGGCATAGGAAAATGAAGCGGCGATTTAAATAATCGCCGCTTCATTTAAATTTACATGGCTGCCGCGCTGAGCCGACAAACAGCTGATCAGCTGTTTGTCGGCTCAGCGCGGCAGCCATGTAAATTTAAATGAAGCGGCGATTATTTAAATCGCCGCTTCATTTTCCTATGCCTGGTAGCCTAATCTACATGCCTCTGGCGACAGAGGCATGTAGTCTAGACGTACCCTAAGACTGGGAGGCCAGCTATCAGAAATTACAGGGTTTTTTTCAAGCTCCCTTGTGGTCAAAAAGCATGGGGTACCCCTCTGGAAGAAGTTCCCAAGTGCATCTTCCTGGGTTTGAAAAGCGTTTCTTTTACATCAATGGTGGCAGCATACCAACCACGGCCATGGAATCTGTGATCTTGGGAAGTTTTTAAGCAGAAGCCTATAGAGGCAAAATACTTTTTAAAATGTCTTGCAGGCTCCCACCTTTTGCACTCAAAGTACCACAATGGGGAACAACCTTGACAGTGGCAAATATAGAATTTGCCAAATTCGCAACTACAGATCCATCTATATGTGCCCAGAACATAATAAGATATTTAAGACACTGACAGTTAAAGAGCAGAATTAGACTTTCATGGGGAAGGGGCAGATCACCCCAAATTTACCGACTGTAGATATCTTGCAACCTTCCTTTGGATTATATGGATCCAATACAATAATACCTATGTTCCTATCCAGAGAAAATAATTAGAATTTCATTATACTAAATATGTAGATAATATTGGTGGTACATGTGCAGTTAACTGTGCTAAGTTATATGTGATTTCCTGTGAAAAGTAATAAGAATTATTTTGTCTGTGTCTGAGCAACTATAGATCAATGAAGTTTTATAAACCCAGCTAACATAACACTAGTTTAGCGGTTCTAAAACTTTTTGGCCCATGGCCCATCCCACTCAATGCAGACCTTTCCGTGGACCACCAACTAATCACCCATGATGACAAAATGGGTGCAGAAGGCTGTGGGAGGGGCGTGGAAGGGAGGTTTGTTGGAAAAGTGGGCTGAGGGTAGGAGAGGTCTGGGAGGCAGGGAGGGTGCAAGGAGCAGGGTGGGAGTGGGAGAGTCTGGGTGGGAGGAAAGGTACAAGAGCACGGTAGGGTGTGGCGTCTGGATGGGAGAGATGGTGCAGGAGCAGGTTGGTGGTACAGGGGCTGGGTATGAAGGGTGCTTACCTGGCTCAGTGCCTCCCGCTGCTCTCAGGCACCATCAAAATCATCTTAATTTGACATCTATCTCATTTCGCAAGCACCCATCTTATTTGAAAATCTGCGTGTTTTGTAGAAAGAGCTTTAGCACAGATGTTGACATAGTTTAATACAGGGGTTTTCAAACTCTGGGTTGCAGCTTGCAAGGGCAGGCTGCTACCTGGCTATGAGACGCTTTGTTTACCTGAATCGCTGCAGGTACGGTAGATCACAGCTCCCATTAGGGATGTTAGATACTGGGTAATTGAATAGTCGTGTATCCACATGAAATCTTTGCAGTTACATGAGTATTCGATAGTCTCCAGAGGCAGGGCAGCTGCCCAGG